TTTTTCTCCGGTACCGGGAACCGAACTCACGACCTTGCGCTTGCCAGGCAGGCGCTTTTGCCGCTGAGCTAAATCCCCAGCCCCGGTTCAAGCTATTTGACTCCTCTACCCCTTTCTCTCACTTTAAAATTTTACTTTTGCGTTCATTTGCAATTTAAAATGTATTTTAAGTACTCTTTTGGAGGGATGTAAGTCTTCATATGATTCAAAAATCTGAAAGCATAAAGGGTATAAAATTATATATCTCTCTCCTGCCCACATTCCCCTCCGCTTCGCAATAGGCAGCTAGCACTACTTCAAAGGTATCTTTCCAAAGTGTGAACATAGGGATACAAGCTTCCTGTCTACTTTTCCATCCCAACTACACCAGATATCAAGATTATACTGTCTTGCTCTTGCCTTGGATTATGCAGTCTTGTTCTTGTTCTTGGAATTTCCATAATAAAGTTATTATTCTTTATATTTAATTATATACCTTACAGGTCTATATTAGCATATAATATTTCCTCATTCTTTTACAAATGATTTTAAATGCTAAATTACAGTATTTTGATGCAAACGCACAAAACTAGCTCTTTACCTACTTATGGAACTTTAGCTTGTTCTAAATTTTTGCTCTAACTGCTTTAATTATTAAAAAGGTTTTTGCTTGACATTAATCGGGGCTTGCTTCACCACAATTGAGTGCCTTTCCATAATGCTTCTTCTGGTGACACAGAAGTACATCTTCTACTCAGTGGAGTTTTAGGGGAAATAATTTAGAACACTTCCTGTTCATCTCTCAGTCTGCTCCCATGGCGGTGGTGGAGGAGGACTATGTCCATGGATTGATCACACGCAAGATCACTAGTTGGCCCATGTGTTATTTTGGGGCTGACTTGGAATTTTGGCCATAGGATGGCTCTTCTGCTAGTATGCTAAGGAAGAGTAAGAAGGTAGTCAGACTGCCGGTCTGCCTCTCCATTTCTCAGCAGTTGGGCCAGTTTCACCCAGTCTGTGTTTCAGTTTGATCTTGAAAAAGACAATGGCAATTGACTCTTGAGATTTATTATTTATTATAAAGATTAAATATATGAATACACCTTCAATTGTTCTGGCAATTAAATATGTAATTGGGATAAGTGCTCATCTGTCCTAGAACTTGATGCTCGGGTACCACAGCCCTAGAGTTCTCAGAGGGTGGGTGTCTAGTCTGGTCTTCCCCAGCAGTAAGCAAATACATTTTACTCAGGTTTTCTTTGTTCTTTTCTGCTCTCTGATCTGTCCTTCTGACTGACTTGGAGGGAAAGAGAAAGAGAAGGTTATTTAATTTGTTTTTATAGAAGACCCAAGGCTACTTCTAGATGTTCTTATAGTTTGGCTTAACTCTTTAAGCTTTACAATAGGTTCTAGTACTAAAACTTTACAGTAGAAAAGAATTTGTAAGGGGCTGGGGATTTAGCTCAGTGGCAAAAGCACCTGCCTGGCAAGCACAAGGTCGTGAGTTCGGTTCCCGGTACCAGAGAAAAACCAAAAAACAAAAAAAAAAGAAAAGAATTTGTAAAGTCACTTTGAAGAGAAATCTGACACAGTGCAATACAAATGAAAACATGCATTTATTATGCTCCAGCAATTCCATCTATGTATGTACCCTAGAGAGATGCACATATGTGTCCAAAAAGACATGAAGATGTTTATTGTGGCATTGTTTTTAATGGTAAAAACTGGAAATAACTGTCCACCAAATGACAGTGGATAGAAGCACATATGCAATATGTATATTTGTAAAAGTGTAACATAACATAGAGAGGAAAAGGAGTGAACTATTTCTGTACATATATCTATGCTAGAGCTAAATAACTAACCATTGAGGAGATAAAGGCAGGTTGTAGAACGATAGCTGTGGTTTGGCAGTAGTTACGATCATTTAAAAAACATAAGGAGGGACTGTATATGAATTCATGTGACATATATATATGTATATGATATATATCTATGAAAAATAAAAAATGGCCAGAAAGAAGCACAAATTCATGAGCATGAATGACCCTGCAGGAAAGTGAACAGGAATAAGATGAAGCTGGGATTAAAGGGATAACTCGAACTACAGCTGTAATATTTTCTTCTATGAAAAGACTAATACAAAAAAGTTCACACTCCTTAATTTTGGGTTTTGTTAATATGAATGTTATTTGTATTGTTTGTACCAGCTCTATGTTTTTTAAGAAAAACTTTGAGAGTCCGTAGGTGCTTACTATTTCCTTCTTTGTACCTTACTTTTTTCAAGGAGCTCATACTGTTGGGTCTAGTGTTCAAGTGCTCCTGTGTTTCTGGCTCATTGCTCTTCATGTGGTCTTGCCTGGCCTCTTGAGAGGCTCTGAGTGTTTACTGAGATGTTGCTGCATCTTATGGTGGGGTTTTCCAGTCTGTATTGACACCCACCCCACTGCTGTTGTCCTTTGGTTGGCAGGCTCTAGGAGTGAGTGTGGTGAAACCTAACTCTCAGGGATAATCAGTGACACTTGGTGACTGATTGGATGCAGAGACAAAAGGAAAGGGAGAGGTAAGAAACCTCCTGATGATTCTAATTTGATGAGTGAGGGACAAAGTGCAGGGCATTGCTGCACACTGACTAAGGGAACAGAGGAGAAAAGTGTGTTTGAGAAAGAGAAGAATGAATTTGGCATGGATTGTTTTTGATGGTCTTTGGCTCCAAGCACCTAGAAAGGTGGATCTGGAGCTTAGGAAAGATGTCACGTCTTGAGATGTTGATCAGGGCATCATTAGAATAAAAGTGATAGAAGTTGTAGGCAAAGATAAAATTGTACAAGGACAGATAATAAAATGTAAGGGGCCCAAGAATGAAATCTTGTGGACTCTCAATACTTACAGGGGAAAATCTAATATTAAATTATTGTAGGTTGTAAGCATCTTAAATGCATTTCATAGAGTGGAACCTGAAAAGCACCTGGCATGCTATGTTTTTATTAAGGTTTCTGTTAAAGTATGATAGCATTTTCTGAAAGTAGACTGCATGTGGACACATTTATTCATTTGTCTTGTCCTCAAATAATCAGATTTATGGAAGTTGTGCCTTATTGAATAAATACTTCCTGAGTACTAGGTATGTACTGGGCATTAGGAATACTAAGAATTGCCCATGTGGCACTTATGGTCTATTAAAGGGAAGAGACATTAAGTGAAGTAAGGAAAATTGTTAGTAATAAATGCTAAGGATTAAAGGAACATGGGGAGAAAGACACGAAGGTCTGGGATGGGCGTTGGTTGCAATTTTAGATAGAATGACATAGTAGGGGCCTCATGAAGAAGGTAAGGTCTTAGTAAAGACATGAAGAAAATAGGAAACCAGCCACTTTCAGGCAGGAGTGGTACAGACAAGAAACAGTGCAAAGACCAGAGGGGGCAGCATGCCTGCATGTGTTTGAGGAGTGGTGAAATGGCCTTGGAGCATAGCAGAGAAAGTGAAGAGGTGAGATGCAGACAGATCATTAGAACTTCATAAATCTCAATAAGAGAGATTGGCTTTTACCCTGGGTCCAATGAGAAGCTCCTGAATGGTTCTGAGTGTCATGACCTAACTTACATTTTAATAGGGTCATTCTAGTTGCTGTGTTGAATATAGACAAAGAAGGTCTGAGGTCAGAAGACTAGAAGAGGCTAGTGCAATAATCCAGAGAGGAAGATGGTGTGGACTACAGTGAGGAAGTAGAAATGGTGAGAAGTAGCCAGACTCAGGATGTATTTTGAAGGTGTAGCCAAGCATATCTGCCAGATCTGATGTGGGTTGTAAGAGCAAGAGAGGCATTAAAGAAGGACTAAGTTTAGAATGACTAAAGTCTGAGCAACTGGAGGAATGGAACTTCCATTACAGTTATTATTCTTTACTTAATCAGCTACTATGTGAAAATACAAATGAAGACTTGCTACTTACCAAGTGCTACCACTTCCACCCTTCCACATGCTGTATGAAGAGTCAGCATTTCTGTAGGACATGATGCTCACCATCCCTGAGAGACACCAGAAGAACACAGTGCCTCATTGACCTTCATTTCTACTCACAGTGCTGCATTGGTCCCAGGGGGCAGTAAACTTCCTTTGGTGTTGGGCAGTAAACACATGGTCTGTGGCCAACACTGAACTTCTCAAAGGAAGCATGTGAATTGCTTGAAGTGGGAATTATTGAGCAGAACATTCTGATCTCATTCAAAGAGGAAGGAAGTGCTCCATAGAGTTTGGAATGCAGGTGTCTTGTCTCAAATCCAGGCATTTTGGTAAGTTAAGCCAAAATGCTACAGAAATAGTACACATATTTATTCATACAGTAGAGTCCATCTTGTGATTCTTTTTGGCTAAGATGTCAGATAAAGCATTTATACAATTCATAGTGACTTAAATATTAGTTTAAAATATTTGTTTAAAAATTACTAGATTATTATGCAAAATAGATTTTTTTACCTTCTTTTATTTTTTTCTTCAGGTACTGTTTTTTAGTCAATGAATGAGGATAAAAAATGTCCCAATGATTTCCTGCCTCCAGATAGTGAAAAACATAGAATACAGGGACAATGCTCATCAGCTCTGCCTCCGCACTCCCCTTGGGGAGGTGGGGTAGGATATCGGTGCCTTCCTGACTCAGGACAGTAGACAGGACCTCACCTATCAGCAGCCCTGAAACAAGAAGAAGTCAAAGTAGACACGATCACCTCCTACCAATGGATAGCAGTATATTCTAAAGAGAAGAACTGTGCTTGCTTCCACAGCACATATGCTAAGTAGAACAACCATCTCTGTTCTTTTTTTTTAATCTAAGCAGTTCACTTGCTTCTCAGAAAGGGGTGAGAGAGAGGACGTGGCTTGGAACATGAATTTAAAAGAAATGAAATGAAAGCTTAAGCAATATCTTTACACTATAGTAATAGATGATAGAATGATGCAGTGGGCAGAGTAATGCATCTGCAGTGCTTACATGGACATAATACATCTACTGCCATTCATGGATTTAGACATTGCAGATCATATTAACCATTCCTCCTACAAAATAAAACAAAGGCCCAAGCAGGGAGTGTGGTAACCACTTTGTAACTCACTGTGCAACCTTGTGCAAGCCATTTTCTTGTAAATCCAACAACGGGATTGCACAAGATCAAAAAAGTCCTTTGCAGTACTAACATTCTGATTTTCTGTGAGGTAAAATGTAGTCAGGACATTCTATTGTTTTGGTGGTATGTTACTGAATTGCAAAGGCAAGAGCTCAGGGAAAGCCCATCAAAGATGCCATGTCTTCAAATGTCCTGGAGGGAAGAGAAGCCCTGCTCCAGTTTGAATGCATGTGTCCATTCAGAACCCGTATATGAAATCTATTCAGCAAGGGCGTGGTATTAAAAGGTGGGAATTTGGGGAGGTGATGAGACCAGGAGGGCACTGTCCTCTTGAATGGGATTAATGACCTTATCAAACAAGTGTGAGGGAGCTGTCTACCCCTTCCTGTCATTCTGCTTTTCCACCTCCTGCCCTGTGAGGGTGCAGTGACAAGACGTCAGTTGAGAAGTGGAGAACAGCTCCTGGCAGACATCAATCTACGGGCACTTAGAGCTTGGAGTCCCCAACTTCCAACATGGTAAGGAATCAATGTCTGTTCTTTATAAATGATCCGCTCTTAGGTATTTCATTGTAGTAGCATAACTGGACTAAGACAACCTCTCCGGGACTGGCATTTCAGCAGAAGTGTGCTGTCATCTTGGGGCCAATGCAGGGCATAAAGCTTTCTTTGGAGCTAAGACCATGGGAAGTTCTTTAAGTCTAGAAGTAGCTGTATCCCTTCTCTTAGAGAAGTCTTTGGCCAAAGATAGTCCTCACTGTCCATCATGGGGAAATTAATCTTTATTTCAAGCAGGTCAGTGAAAGAAGATATTTGGAAAAGTAATCAAGTATTTGTAGAATACGGGGTGTTCTCAAAGAAGATTTGCGTGTGCAGGGAATCAGATAAATAGAAAAAGAATAATGCAATTAAGTGGGGCTTGGTGGTACATCCCTGTAATCGTAGCACTCTCAGAGGATGGGGCAGAAGGATAACAAATACGAGCCCAGCCTAGGCAAGCTAGTAAGTTGCTATCTCACCAATCAATCAGTAAAACAGGCTGGAGCTATATAGCTCAGTATAAAGGCCCTGGGTTTAGTTCCCAGTACCCCCCCCACAGAAATAAGTAATAAAAATAGAATATGTTACTTTACCATTTACACTCAAAATCCTTTTGACATTTGTTTTTGGGACCAAATCTAATGGTATCCTGTATGGAAACTCCTTTCGTCTGCTAACAGAACCTGTAATTTTAAAAATGATTAGATTTACAGAGTTTTTTAGGAAAGAGACTATTTGCAGATTATTTGTAATATATCTACTGCTAAAGAATTTTTTGAGATGAAAGATCGTTTTATAATAATATTATTAAAATTACAAAGAAAGAAACATCCAAGATTTTTAAATCAAACTCTAGGCTTGTATAATCTCTTTAAATAAAACACTAAACTTGGCTATAAAATTGCTGGTCATAACATGATATGAAATAAATAGGTTATATCAATTTTATCCACCAGTAAAAGGTAGCATGGCTTTTTGTCAAAGAGAGAAATTTGTTCCTTGAACTGAAATCTGAAAATAAACAACACATAATTTCCTAGTCAAGGTTATTTGAACACTAGCTCCATTGGGAAGTAAGATCTGAAGTTCTTTCTACCTTCTCCTTCCCATCTAATTTAGAGATGTTTTCTATATGCCTTTGATAACAGAATTTTAGCATTCTGGTATCAAGAATCTTTCTATTATAATTAATCACTGCTTTTCATTGTAAAAATGATAACATTTATTATTGCACTGATAGACTACCAAGCACTGTACTGAGCTGTTTAAATGCATTGCTACACTAAATCTTCACATGAATCTTGAATGCTAGGTCTATTTTTATTATTTTAATTTTATAGATGAGGAAATTTGGCTTAGAGAGTATCTTGGACAAAGTCACAAAACTAGTAGAGATGGAGTCCTGATCTGAGCCAAGAAGGTTTTACCAGAGTCCACTGTAGTCACCATAAAGAGAATACACCTCCATGGTTTTGCTAAGAAATATCTTTCAAGGCAGTGACCAACTCTTACCCAAGTTGTAGTTCCAGCACTTTGCATAGTCCTTGGCACATGGAAGATGCTAAAGCAGTAAGCATTTTGTAATTCAACTAACAAGCCAAAGATGCAGGAATATTTCCATGAAGCTTCTTTATCCACTAACCCTTGATAAATACTGAGGAATTATGTTAAAATAAAGCTCCATGAAGGCACTGAAGAGTTTTACAGTTTGGCTGACAGAGAATGGAGTTCAGAAAGAACTTACTATGTATGAGATACTGAGCAAGACACGACCTTTCTGTGCCTTAGTTAGTTAAATGGAGGTAATGATATTTTCCTCAAAGTGTTTTTGTAAGGATAAAAATAATACAGACAAAGAGCCTGGCATACAGTTCATCCTCAGTGGATGGTACTTATTACTGAGGGATTGTCTGTGAATGTCTAAATTTGATTCTCCACTATTGTCTCCATTAATACATGCTCTTGACTATTTCAGTTCACATTGGCAAGTGCACTACCAAATGGAAAGCTAAAGAAGGAAGTCAAAGCCAAGGAAGTCAACTTTACTCATCAGAGACCACGACAAGATTGATCATGACCTCACACATGAAGGTAGATTCCAGAGAAACTAAAACATTTAAAAGTCAAACCTGTACAATCAGTAGAATAACAAATTGCCTTTGTGAACTAAAGGTGGACTAAGACTTCTTTAAGATTACCCCCCAAAAAAGATGCATTATGATGAATTTGACTATATTGGAATAAAGAATTCTTGTTTAAAATTCATGAAGACCTGCTTTTGCGCAAGGAAGTACATCAGAGACAAAACTAAGAAGAAATATACAAGAAAATTCAAATTGAAAATAGAAAAAAGTTAAAAAAATATGAGCAGGCAGTTAACAGATGAACCTAAACACCCAACAAATACATCAAGAAATGCTTAAAATGCTAACAACCAGAATGATCCAAGTTAAAACAATGATGAGATACTACTTTATACCCATCAAACATGCCACATTTTCAAGTGGTGAGTAATAGCAAGTGTTGGGGAGGATGTGGAGAAATGAAACATCACACACTGCTGGGGAAGTATAAATAGGGCAGACATTTAGAACAGCAATATGGTAGAAACGAATGACACTAAATATCTACATAGCCTTTGAAGGAGTCCCACTTCTGGAAATGTAGTCCAGATAAATACTTATCCAGCATTTTATTCAGCTTTTTCAAAATATCTCTCTCTCTCTCTCTCTCTCTCTCTCTCATCTGTTATCTATCTATCTCCATATATACATATTTTTTTCTTCAGTGTTGTTTAATGGTGTTGAGGAATCTGTCACTAGGAGATGAATAAGTAAAATGTGAGAAAACATACCTTGAAATTCTATGTAAAATAGTGAATTAAATGTACATACAGCAGTAGGAATATTTCTTAAAAACTGAGTATTGAGTTCATTTATTTATTTAGTACTGAGTTTATACACTTAAGAAATAGAATAGGATCTATACGGTAATACACTTTAAATATATTAAAAGGATGGATTATATATATATATATATCCATATCTATATATCTATTGATCTATCTATCCATCCATCCCTCCATCTATCATCTATTTATCCATCCATCCATTATCTATCTATCCATCCATCCATCATCTATTATCTATCTATCTATCTACACATTATTTCCCTATTCAAAGACGTATGTCAAACACAGTTGAGGGGATGTATTTGGAAGAAGGGAGATGGAATGGGGTCAAGGATAAAGGGAGCGAGTAAAAAGTGAGAGTGGCCCACCAAGCCCAGGGAGCTGGGCAGCCAGGAATTGAGGGAGTGGAGAGCTTAATTTTCTGCAACTAAGATCAACAGAGTCAGGAGCAAGGGGTGGTGAGGGAAAGAAGATAGAAACTAATGAGTAGGGCTAGTTTTGAGCACTGTGTCTCCGTGTTTAGTCTCTTTTAAAATTGGAGTCACACAATTTTAATTACTAATCCTTTACAGTTTGTTCTGAGACCTTGTTCATTTACTTTTCTGAATGCATCTTCGTCTTTTGTTTGTATTTTAAACTAAATTCTGAGAAGTGTTACACTGACGAAGCAGCTTAAAATATAGATGTTGGAAGATGTAATAAAATCTCTGCAGAATTGTTATCTTAACCCTCTTTAGCTTTCTAGATGTCAACAAAGCTCTTTAAATCTAAGTTGCCTAAATAATAAGGAAAGAAACTATGGAAGAGTAGAAAGAAACATAATTGTTTGTTTTGTTTTTGTGGTGCTGGGGATTAAAACCAGGGTCTTGTTCATTCTAGGTAAGCACTCTGCCACTGAACTACACACACTCTCTGGCCCAGAGGTTTGTAAGACTAAGAGTTTCTCCAGAGAGATTTATTCTACAGAAAAAGATCAGTCCCATCTAGTCATCCTGGGATGGGACGATGCCTGGGATGAGTAAGATTTTAGAAAGCTGTTTGCAACAGTGTTAGTATTGGAGACATCAGTGGTGAAAAGGAAGAGAAACTAAGGAACAGGATCGCTCCGAGACTTGATATAACTACCTGAGGCCAAAAACTTTAGAACACACAAAAATTCTACTGAAGATCATCCTCTATAGGTAATCTATCGGGGAGGGCCGTGCCGCTTTAACATAAAATTAGACCAAACAACTAACATATGTATATATGAAGGTAGGATGGAGTTTTCTTTTTATTATTTTACAGAAATCATTCAGTTTGTGATTTGAGCCAATTTCAAATGTAAGGGTAGGGGCTGGGGATTTAGCTCAGCGGCAAAGCGCCTGCCTGGCAAGCGCAAGGTCGTGAGTTCGGTTCCCGGTACCGGAGAAAAACCAAAAAAAAAAAAAAAAATCAAATGTAAGGGTAGTAACATTCTGCTTTCCTACAGGAAATGGCACCCTGAGTATAGTGGCCTTCATTTGTAAGTAAATATTTTTTCCCTGTTGCTCTTGTGGGGCCAGAGGTCTGTAGATGAGAAACTAGCATAGGGGCCTCCTTAGGTCTTCTAGTTAATCCTGACTAAAAAGAGTTAAAAACAAACTTTACTGGAGAGATTCCCCTGGGAAGCAAGTCAGGGACAGGGGTAGAAAAAGAGAGAGAGAGCAAAAAACAGGTAAAGATAGGCACCAAATGGCCTTGGGACTGGCACCAAGAGACCAGAAAAAGAGCTGACAGGCAGAACACAGAAAGAAAGCCAAGGGCACAAATGAACAATAAGCTTCCCCCACTTCCAATAGAATACAGAAGAGGCAAAGGGAGCTCACTAACTTTAAGGCGGCATGTACTGACACCTATGTACTAACATACACATATATGTGTGGGGTGTATTCAGTCTAGAGTCACTACATTATTCACTCTAGGGTCATTACAGAGTACAATAGATGTCCACAGGCCCCCTTACTAACTCTAAGCTAACCATGAATAAGGTACCCCCTTTCCTACCCCAAAGGTAAGGCCTTCAAAGGTAAGTCAAGGACAAGTAAACAGACAGACAAAAAGAAGCTGCATGTAGACCCCCAGAAGAAATGACATTAGGCAGGGGTGCCCAGAAGCCAGTCCGGTTATGGCAAGTTCCAGGTGGCTGGGCTAGGGTCACTCACGCTCCCCTATAAAAGCAGATGGGAACAAAGGGTCCATGGCTCCTCCATCTTTCCAGAGCTCCCTACTCTGATTCTTTCTTACCAGAAGAGCTATCTGTCTTCTTTTTGCTCTCCCTTTCTTTTCCTCTTTACAAATAAAGTGTCTTCCTTTTGTTAAACTTTGTCCCACTAATATTTTATTGGGACTGTGTTTCCCATCCCAGTGGGCTGCCTGGACAGCAGAAGTGATGCTTATCCCCCACATGTGGCACTACATCACTGAAGGAAAACAAGAATGATCTGAATGTGGCAGTGAGATAAATTATAACCATTTAACAAGCAGTCTGTCTTGTCTTCTTGAAAAGAAAATAATTGTTACTGGAGCATAATCTAAATTTCATGAATAGATAATGCATATAGGTAGTTAGGCCTTGATTCAGTACTCACATGTTCACAAAATTTTGGCTTTGAGAAGATTCACAGTATCTCAGTTAAAAGAAAAACGGGAAAATGGGAACAACAAGGCTCTGTTTAAGTGATTAATTAGAATTACTGTGCTTTCAAATAATGCATGTTAAATGATTGTGTAAACTGGGTATTCTTTGGATTGATAGTTTTAGAATAAAATATTATAAATCATCTTCAAGATGGGTAGATTCAAGAAGTAGGCATTTCTGATCCTATACATTGAATATTTTTTTAAAAAAGAATGTTTTATATGACATATACACTTAATTTGCAGAGCCAAAAGTCAACATATAAAATACAAAATCATTTTCCTACCGTAAATTCCCTTAGGGTCCAGAATAACACTAGCATAGCTTTCCCTTTTAAGACCTTCTGGCTAAAGTAAAGACAGAAAACATTCAGTTAAGAAAATAATTAAATTTATAGGACCTGAATTTCTTGGGTCAGCTTTTCTGGACTACTTACCCAATTTTAAAAACCCTCTTGTTTTGGAATGGCAAACTACGTACCAATACTTACATGCACCTTAATTATAAGATCTTTCTGGTTATTTGCATATCAGTCAGAGCAACATTTCCATACAAGTTATTATATGCCATGTGATTTGTCTAAATGCTTTGTATATCTTGCTGCTTAGATCTCTGAAAACCTCTCTGAAGGAGGCTCTATAATTACTCCACTTGACAGATGAGAAAACTGACACACATAGGCATCAAGTAACTTATCCAATGCCTCATTGCTAATGGTGCCAGAATTCAAAGCCAAGCAGCTTGCTCCAGTCTGCGCATGAAACCGCAGTGCAAACACATAGGAATGTGCCTTGCACAGGATAAATCAATACAGGTTTACTGATATGAATTTTCTAGCTGAAAACAACTCCAAATGAAGACTTAAGAAGATTTAATCTGTCAATAGCTATCCATGTTGCCCTTGGCAAGAACCAGATCTTGTTTTAAAATTAGCACCATTTTAAATTTACAAACATAATTGTATAAGAACCTTACTCTTTGTGGCTTTATTTAAAAGAGAAGAAATAAATTCTTTCAATGTCTAAAAAAACTTAATCTTGATGACATGAAAACACTCAGCAGATTGTGAGGTCCATAATATCTAACAACTGATCTTTTATTGTTTGCCTTTCCTGGCCTGTTTACTCATTTATAAATGGAAAGTTTTCTAGACCAGAAGTTCTTTAAATGCAAGAGCTGTGTCTTGTTTATTGGTCTATCTTCAGTATCTGGCATGTATATTTCAAGACACGCTTTCTGGATTTGTCTTGAGTGGGTGTGGGAAAGCCTGGAAGACAGGTACCCAATTGTTAAAACTGGGAATCTCTGAGTATGGGGATTATTGGTGACTTTTTTTTCAGTACTCATATGTCCTATAATGACCAAGTATTATTGTTTAATTTAAAAATTCTAAACATAATTTCTGACTCTTTAAGTGCAAGAACAGTAAAAAAAGAATCTATGATAACATCCGGGTTCCTCAACTGTTAGTTTTTTTTTCCTACATTTACACTATCATTTCTCTCCTCCCTCCTCTCTCCCACCCTAATCATCTAAACATAAGTTGTTAATGACCTTTTTTTTCTGGGGGAGGAAAATGTATTTTTTTTAAAAAAAGAATGTTCTTCTTACCACGACGCGTAATGTTTTCACTAAGATTTCTCTTCCAAAGGAAGTCTCCAGTGTGAAGTTGATGTTATGGAGGCCAACTTCCAGAGGAAGCAGGGTGAAGGTCACCAAGTGGCTGGAGGACCCCTCCATGCGCTGACGCACACATTTGGAAGACTTTGGCCCCTGATGGCCAAGGGTTGGGCTTCCTCCCGGTGTACAGATCCCCTCCATGGTCGACACTTTAACACAAAACTGAAATATCACAAGTGAAGAATCGCATCAAAATCGTTCATCATATGAGTCATATATATTATGGCAGAAAAAATTCCTTTATCTCTAAGAAAGTTTACCCTGAACGATGCTTTCTGGACACAAGCTCTACCCTGGCACTTTACCAAAGTCAGAGTAACTGCTTAGGTTTTAGGCATGGGAGGAAACTGGGTTTGAATATCCTCGCATATGCACACAAGCTGCTGCAGAACTTAGCAGCGTGAAGGGATGTCTAGGAAACTCACCACTGACTCAGAGTGGTCCTCCTTTCCTTTGACCATTTCTGCCTCAATTAGGTACAAAGCTACTGTTGTTCTTTTTTCGTGCTATAGCAAGAAACTTGTTGCAGCATCTCTTTGCATGTTTGTGTGTCAGACAGTGGGAACCTCATAGTCAGGCATTCTGTCTTATTCGCCTTTGTATCTTTGAGCTCAGCCTCTGACATCCATTAAATAATGGTTTGACAGAAGGCTGAAAACTACATCCTTTAACCCATTCAAAGCTTGCTCATTATGTCCCCAACTTCCTTTTCCAATGTTACAAACTTCTACTTATACCCCAGTTTGCAGCTCAACTCCGGCTCTTGAAAATTGTGGATTCACATCTTGGCCTGCCTTATTAACTGTACTATGGGAATAGCTTGTACAGCCTCTCTAATTTTCCATTTCCTAATTGTTACACTGCGATAGGAATAGTATTCAATGACCCTGGGTAAACTAGTGACGATTTTTCATCCTCCTTTTAAAATCTGGTGATTTGACAGAATCAAGAACTATCTCCAAAAAAAAAAAATAAATAAATAAATCCATAAGATCTGGAATAAATCAAGCTGATAAAGAAAAGAGAACATCAGTGTCCGACAACTAATTTTGTGAAATGTCTGAGTTCCAACTTCACTGTCTTCTTGGGATACCAACAACCAAGGTGGGCAGGGCGGGAGCTAAGGAAGACCATCTGGTCACCTGAGGCCAATAGCAGCATAGCAGGGGCAGAGTAGGAAAGGTGGATCCTAGGATTCTGAGAGCTGACACAGGAGGATTGCAAATTGGAGCCCCGCCTGGACAACTTAGCAATACCCTGTCTCAGAATAAAAAATAAGAAAGGTCTGGGCATGTACCTCAGTGTGAAACTGTTGAGTTCAATTCCCAGGAACACACACACACACACACACACACACACACACACACACAGGGTCATTTGATAAAATTCATTTACAAAATTAAACACAAGTAGCAGATTAAAGAAAGCTACTACCAATATATATATAACTGGTAAAGGATTAAAAGTCATTAAATATGAAGTGCTCCTATAAACAATAAGTATTATGGAGTACTGTCTGTAGGCCAGGCATTATATTTACATGAATTAGCTCATTTAACCTTCAACAATAAGGTATGTTCTATTATTATTCCATTTTTCAGATGAGAAAACTAGGTAAGTGTCTTGGTTACTTTTCTCTCGTTGCTGAGACAAAATACTCAACACCCCAAATTAAGGAAGGAATTTATTTAGCTCATAGTTTGTGGAGGTGTCAGTCCATAATCAGCTGGCTCCAAGGCACGGTGGCATGGCACAGGGGCAACAGTTCAAGGCAGCAGAAGATGGCAAAAGCAGCAAGAGCAAAAGTGGGGGAAAACAAGCCTCTTTCCCTCCCTTATACTGTACACTGGCTATCTGCCCAGGCCATCTCTGTGCCCTCCTCTTCCACAAGCTCAGGATGTTTACAAAGTAAGGACCCTGGCCCCCTTGCCGAGTGAAACTTCCAGACTTCTCAAATTGACCCAGTGTATTGACCATTACAGCTAGGAAAAGCTAGGTACCCTACCCTTGGCAAAGAAACAACTCAATAGGAAGCCAAGGAAAGGTTATAAAAGTAGTACATAGGATATCATAGTAGTACAGGAAAGAAGAAATAAAATGGCTGGTAGGCAGTTGAAAAGAGGCTTGACACTGTTAGAAAGCAGGATAATAACATGAAAGTATCAATCACAGCCCTTTTTCTGCCATCATATTAGTACAATCTTATACGTACTTATAAGTAATACAGTGCTGCCTTTCATGTTTTCAAATATTATGTAGTTGTATTCCTCATGCATGTATGGTATATTATCCTGTAATTTGTTTTTCTTGAACAACATTACATTTTTTTGAGCTTTAATAAAAATGATACATTTATTACCTATTTAGTCCACTCATTTCAACTGATATGTAGTATTCATTCTATGAATAAAAATGCTTATAAAAATTATAAGAATATTGGGGATCTTACTCACATAAGTTGATAACAGTGTTAATTGATGTAGTCTTTCTGGCAGGCATTTATTATAATACTTTCAAAAGGTTAAATGCTGATGATGTTTAACACAGATATTCTACTTCAAAACAAAACATCTGTCCTACAGAAATGCTCATACATATGAAGGAAGATCGTATCTAAAAGTTGACTTTCCAAAGACAATTATAATAGTGGAAAATTGGAAAAATATAAATATCTTTATTAGAAAAATGGTTAAATATAATGCATTGCATATGTGAATTAGTATGCAGCTGTGAAAGTAATAAAGTAAATATATATAGGTATATATTTATAGCTATGGAAAGGTGATTCTAGTCATATTAGTGGGAATGCATGTTGAAAAAGCATGTGTGTGTGTATGTGTGTGTGTGTGTACACCTATTTTATATGTGTTTGATTAGATGACCAGGAACCCCTGCTGACCTCCTTATTCCTCTCAATGACTAGAGCTTAGCTATAGCCTTTGTGGTATAGTTTTCTATACTCTTCACCTATTTATGTATCTATCTGAATTATAATTTGACATGTTTAAAGACTGACCTCTTTTAACATGATTTGGTTTAGAAAGTGAAATTATCTTTCTATGATGAAAATTACATCTGATTTTGGTTGTGACAGTGAAAACTGATTTTTTTCCCAGCTAGGTTATATGGCAACTATATTATATAAATCAAATAAACTAAATGTGAAGCTTGAAGGTTTAAGATAAAATCATTTTGCAGGACGTGGTGGCACATACTTATAATCCCAGCACTCAGGAGGTTGAGGCTGGAGGATCGCTACAAGTTTGAGGCTAATCTGAACTACACAGTGAGTCCAGGGCAGCATGAACTATATAGTGAGAACCTGTCTCAAAAAAATGTTAAGATAAAAATCATTTAATAAGAAAGTATTAATAAAAGGATTACAAAATTGACAATATTTTTATCTTTTCAACCTTCCTGATTATGTTGGGTTAAATAAGAAATGCCTATCTCAATAGAAATAAAAAATTGGAATAAATGTATGTGGAATCAGCTCTCATTTCTAATAATAAATAATATTTATCTATAGTTATAGCTCAATTGAGGGAAAAGTATTATTTATCTAATGAGATGCTTTTTAAATAAAACTTTTTATGTTTAATAACTTTAAATTTTATGTTATATTCTTATCAATTAAGTACTAGTAATATTTGTAATGATAACTAAACCCACAACCATTTGCAACTTAGACTCTTACAATCATTTAATTTAAAAATATTTTATTTTTGATGTATGTGTGTTTTTATTGCATTAAAGTACAACAGTAGGATCAGTAGAAAAAATTCAAACATAAAATAGGAGAGTGGAAGAAAAGTATGAGTTCATAAAGAAACAAATTATACATAATCTGTTATTAAGAGTTCATTTAAGTATTTAAAAATATTGCTACTGTATTTTGATTCTGCCACCTACATTTAAAGTTTGATATAACAGTGTTATTTTTAAAATCAACATTTAAATATATAGAAGTTATAGATTGGCATCTTTTAAAAAGTTAGAGTAAGAAAGCTTAAGTCCTATCCTAAAAGTGTGACAATGGAACACATAATTTCTCCCCAAAATTTTAGAATATGCAAGTAAAATTTTTGGAGACAGCTGAGACAGTTATCTCTAAGAATAAAATCACAGCTTTTAAAAATACAGATTTGGGGCTGGGGATTTAGCTCAG